TCCCCCCTGTGGGGGTCACTCATGCGTGTGTGGGGGACTTGTGCACACGCAGGGAGGAATCAATCACTCATTTTCATGGGTGTTTTAGATTTTATTTGGTTTGTCTTCCGCCCTATTCCTGAGAGACTCAGGGTGGCTAACAATAAAAAGGGGAGGGGCTACAAAAATAAAATAAAAAACAGCAATTTAAAATTCCATCTGCTGGCCAATGTCGGCTGGCGACATTGTGGCTGCTCTGGCCCTCTGGAACGATCTCCCCGTTGAGATCTGGACCCTTACTACCCTTCCAGCCTTCCGCAAAGCAACTAAGATCTGGCTGTTCCGGCAGGCCTGGGGCTTTTGAACTATCCAGCCCAGGTTACGACTGTTGTGGAATTTTAAATTGCTGTTTTTTATTTTATTTTTGTATCCCCTCCCCTTTTTATTGTTAGCCACCCTGAGTCTCTCAGGAATAGGGCGGCATACAAACCAAATAAAATCTAAATCACCCATGCACATGAGTGAGTGATTCCTCCCTGCGTGTGCACAAGTCCCCCACACATGCATGAGTGACCCCCACAGGGGGGATTTTTACGCTCCACAGGCTCCAGAGGCTTTCCTGAAGCCTGGGGAGGGTAATAACGGCCTCCGTAGGCTTCAGGAAAACTTCCGGAGCCTGGGGAGGGTGAAAAACAGGCCCTGTGCTGTTATTCTGTTTGTAGTGAGTTAACTTGCACGGTCTGAAAATGGTGTAGTTTATCCCAACTGAACATTTACCCCTCTCATTCAGACAGGTTTAAGTTATTGTGGTGAGATGATGCAATTGTGAAATTCTCTCAGAGATGCACAGCTGGCCAGACCAGGTCACAGGTAGACTTTTAAGCCTTGAGAACAAGCTTGAGAATCATTTCATTATATTTCTAATAAGGAAGGGCAGGGGGGAAAGAATTAATCACTTATTAGAATTATCAATGCAATACTTCAAATGCAGTTCCAAAAAAGCTGCCAAGTACTCTGGGAGAAAGACAAAGGTATGTTAAAGTGTTACAGATAGGAATGCAAAACATTTTTCCTTTAAAGTTTTCAAAGTGCTGCAGAGACATAATTGCATGGACTGTGTTTAATATTTTGAGTTGTATGATTGATTCATATTGCAGCAAGTATTTTTTTTCTGACTTAGCTGACTTCTTCAGTGGTCCCTGCAATGCCACTCAAAGGTCAACTGTGGCCTTCAATTCAAGGAAGATAATCCAAACCAGTGGTGGGCTGCTGCTGGTTCTGATCAGTTTGGGTGAACTGGTAGTTTTGACTGGCGGGTGGGCTTGCCCACCTGCCCTGGGTCTATTTTGGCCATGTATCACTGTGTTTTTAAAGCTGTGCACATGCGTGGAAGGCCGCGTGCATGCACGGAAGTCAACGTGTATGTGTGGATGGCACATGCATGAGCAAAGTGAGAATGCGAGTGCATACACGCTCACATTTCCAGTACATTCTCAATAAGTTATGATGAATAAAAGCCAAGATCTGCTTGTTCCTGAATTGATAAACACATTACAGGAAGCCATACTGAAGAGTTCATAGCATTTGCAAAAGTTAATCACATTATTAACTTTCTATAGCTTAGTAATATTGTTAATAGCTTATTTGTTTCCAAGGGAAATAAGATTAAGTCAATATTTTATTTTTATTTTAGCAAATAAAAGAAATAATTTTATTTTAGAGATGAGCTCAAGCTGATAAATTGCCTTATGAAGAAAAGTAATCAGGAAAAGGTTCCTTTATTTTTATTTCATTCCATGATCCTTTCTTCACATTTTAATTGCCCACCTCCTCCCCTTGCTTAGATGGTTTCAATAAATGTTTCTTCTTAATCTATCGTTAACACAATCCTGAAGTATGCACTACTATTAGTTGCTATTATCTGGTGTTTGCCTTCCTTAAGCAATATTGTTTTTCATCATTCCTTGTTTTCATTATTGCAGTTGCTCGAGATACTTAAAGAGATAAAGTTCACTGATAATGAACGGGCTGTCTATTTTGACTCTCATGGAGACATTATCACAGGGTATGATGTCCTGCTCTGGAAGGAAATTGATGGAAGAGTGGTGATTACCAACATGGGAGAGTATGACTTGGAAAAAGATGACTTCATCTTTGCAGATAAAGAAGATGAAATTGAATTCATGAATCTAAAGGTATCTGAAGGCCCCTTGGAAAAACAATGAAATACCCATGGATGTATCGCTACAGGAGATTTGTATAGACTTGGATCCATGTTTTAGTCTGCCACTAAACAGGGAAAGAAAAAATGCAGGAAATGTTTGGATAAATGGATTAATGGAATCCATTAATGGCATTATCCATTAATGGCTGAATGGATAATCCACCTGAATCCCATCCAGGCATTTAGCATAGCAATCCATAAGTCTCATTTGGTAACAGCTATGGTAGTATAAGTTGTACTTCAAAATATCTAGAAGACTGTAGACTGATCATCCTTTAAGTTAAAAAAAAAAAAAAGCTGCTTTAAGGAGTTAAAGAGAAGTGCTTCATTGTCACTCCCAGACTCTCCGAAGTACCTTTTTACCTTCAAATGTGAGGGGCTGTAGAGCCCTAAACTCCTGTTATTAAAACATAAAATAAATATTTGTTTTCCCCCATTGTCACTTCTGGTCAAACAGGTTTTTAAAACAGTTCTACAACTTGTTTGCCAGAGATGTAAGTGGGATGAGAGTACCTTTATGCCTTTCTTTGAAATATTTCATATTGTTGTTTAAGACAAAATCTCCTTACCACAAAGTTTTGAAATAATTTTATAATAATAACAACACATTAACACATTTTAATAAGGCAATTATTTGAAACAGCATCATAAAGAAATCAAACTAACAATTGTAGTAGGAACTCTAAATTGCAAAAAAAAACCTGGACATTCATTGTTTTAAGAAAACACATGTAGATTGTGATAGTCCTTTTACAGATGTCTGGAGAAAGAATAATATTTCCATTCCATGAGAAGATCTTCTATAATGATGACACTCTTTTTCTTTTGCTCAATAACTTAATAGCTTGTACCTTCAAGCACATGAATTAGGTTTATGTGGCTTAACAGAAGATCCAAGAGGTGCATGCACTTCTTTAAATAAGATTCAGAAGGCATTTAGGGATTAAAAGATCAACACCAGAGCAGGAGCTAAATTTTAATTTTTCCTTTATCTTTTGCGTAATAGATGTAATATATATTTTATTGCCTTTGCCCAGAAGAGCAACTGAGAATACTCTAGTGACTTTGAAAAATAGAAAGTTAAACAATGGTCTAATGTCAGGGCACAGGTGAGAGCAAAGTTCTTTTCCCGAAAGGAATATAGCAGGTAAATCAGTAAAAAGTGACACTAATAGTCTTCTGGTAACTAATAGTGATACATCTAGAGAACTTCAGGTTGTACACATGGTCCTTTGAAGAGAATGCAATTCATTTTAACACTGTAGTCACAACTCCATTATGATGATATGGGTCTCCCTCTTATAGCCTCTGGGTCTCAGCTGGCCTTCTATAAATTCCCTCCAAAGACCTCCTGAAGATTTCCATTCCCTCACTAGAACTAATTGAAGGAAACTCCAAATAAAGCTATTGACTTGTTATCCCAGCTGGCAAGATTTCTATAGAATCCCCCAAACTGTCCATATTTCAGGGTGCCACGCCATCACTGTCCACTTAGGTCTGTTTAGAAAGGAATGGAGCTATTGTAACCTTATGCTTCATGGTCCTACCCCAGCTGGTCACCTGGAAAATATGATAGTTAAGAATACTGAAGGACAATGAAGCAGCATAGGCAAGTGGTATTAAAATATCTTTTCTTTGCCACTACAGCATCTTCTCATTGGTGGTATCTTATTGTGAAAAGTCTTATCTGGTGCATCAATACATTGTTTCAGCTCCTAGATATTGGTCATTTCCACTCCTGGTCATTTAAACAAAAAATCCTCAAGTTTTTCGGTCTTATTAATAGCCAGCAATAGATTTTTTTTAAAAAAAAGAAAACACCACTACCGTGCTTTCTGAAATTTAAATTTGTTGATAAATTTAACTTTATTTTGTGCATTTATTCTTATAAATGTACTCTCTTTTTCTGTAAACAATCAACATAAAACGAACACAATAAATATACTATTAATAAATAAATAGTGTTTTTCACGCAATAGTGTGTTCAGTGCTTTTCTCTCACATGACTGCAGTGGACCTATCAACAACCCCTTGGTCCCCTCAAGATTTTTGCCCCAACTACTTTTACCTAACTGTTTTAAGGTAATTTTACTTACAAAGAAATTAAATGGGAACTTGACATCCTACAAAGTTCCAGTCTCAGACATAATCTTTCCTTACATCCCAAAACGTTTCATTGGTAGAAGGCAATTGCCCAGTGTTTTGATTAGAAATGTATTCACACCATTGTCACCCTAGAGGGAGAAAAGGAAGATATAACAGATTGTCGAGAATATTGTACTGTGGTGTTAAAGGAACTTCACAGTTTCTCAATATTTTTTATTTTTATTTTTTCAATTTTTGAATAAACACAAACAGACAAAACACACACATAAAAAAACCACAAAACCATCTTCCATTACAAGTTGTAGAAAGTGTGTAGATTGGTTACAAAAAACTTCCGTGCATCCCTTCCACAGCCATCACCTACAATTCATATCAATCATATATTTTAAATCAAATATATTTATATATATTGCTATCATCATACCTCAACCTTCATTTGACTACAATTTTTTTATGTCCTTTTATATAAAATATTCCAGATTTAAAGCAAAACAACATATTGGCATTCCATTAGCTCTTCCCAATATCATCCAATAATATTATATCTTTATAACATGTTCTAATTAAAAATTGATTATATTTAATAACAGAGTTTCTAAACCTCCTTTCGTAGTCACCATTTGCAATTTATGTCAAATTTCCTCTTATCAAACCAATACATATATATGTATTATTATCATTATCAATCAGATTATTTAACTATATCCATTATCACTTCATTTTATACATAATGCTCTAAATTTAACTAAATTTGACTTAATTTTTTTATTATAAGCTTTCATTACATCAACATATGTCTTTCCAGTATTAGTGCAGTCTTATGTCTCTTGCCATTTGTGGCATTAGTATTCTGGTTATTTCCTTAGTAAGTTTTGTATGGACT